TAAAATATCAGGTAACCAAAAAAGTTCTGTCGTTTTTTGTCGAAAGAAAACAAATATAAAAATGTATAGGAAATAACACAATTTATTCATCAAAATAACCACCCTCAAATTCAATAACCTTTTCCCAACGGGAAACAAGCTTATAAATTCCATTTTTATAAAAGTCACAATCTTTAGAGTTGAAAAACTTCTCTAACTCTGTTTCTATAACCTTTCTATTTCTGAACTGTTGATTTCGCAGATGATTATCTAGGCTTAAAAATAGGTGATAGTCAGAAGAGCTAATGTCAGGGAAATAAGGAGGGTGCAAAAGAGGTTCCCATCCAAGGGTCTGAATTGTGACAGAGGTCACATGCGCAACATGATGTCTATAGCATTATCGTGTAAGAAAAGAACGCCTTTATGGTTTACTAAAGCTGGCTGTTTTTTCAAAAGTGATTGGTGAACTTGACAGAGTTGTCACTGTAGACATTAACAGTAATAGTCTGGCCAGATGGTATAAGTTCATAGTGAAAATTCCATTTGCAGTCCACCATACGCACAATATTGGCAGGTGTCAATTGATGAGGTATCCATTTGCTGAGCTTGTAAACTTTTCCAAGACTATGCAAATGTAAACGGACAGTTTCATCACTTAAGGAGAACTTTTGTGCTAATATCTGACAAGTTTGAGCAGAATCTTCTTCGATTGCAGCCTGTAATTCATCATTATTAATGACATATGGCCGCCCTTCTTGTGGTGCATCTTTAAGCGACTCATCACCAGAAGAAAATGTTCTAAACCACCTTTGGGTGGTGCGAGTGCTGATAGAACCTTGTCCGAAAGCCTGGCATATTTTTTGAGCCATTTGCACGGCATTTTTTCCAAGTTTAAATTCATACAACATACAAGCACGAATTATAGAGAAAACAGAACCCAACATCAACCAGTTCATTAACTCAATGAATGACAACCCCTATGGCCTGAACATCAAATTGGACCAAAAAAGCAACACCGCTGCGCATTTCCTGGACTTGGACCTTCAAATTAAGGATAATGTGATCACATCCAAGGTCTATTACAGAGTCCTATGTACCACTTTTCATCCCCGCTAATTCTGAGGATCCTTACTCCTACAAGACTGCGGCTTTTAGGGCCTTAACTAAGAGGGCGTTCACGCACCACTCCAATTATCAAGACACCATAGCTGAACTTATACACATTCAGGAAATGGCCACACAACATGGGTATAATAAGAACTTAGTACATAATATCGCTCGCACTTACACACAGGCTTGCGCACGAGACACTGCCAATGTCCATGGGGAGCATTTGGATAACAAGTGTACAAGAAAAATCGTGGGGTACAACCACCATCTGGACGCAATATACAAGGAAATTTCATCCATCAATAAAACTAAGATAGCTTATAAAAAGCCTAGATCAGTTTACAACTTGCTTCGCAACGGGAAAGACGCAATCGACTTAAAACACGAACTGGGGGTATATGCTAACCCGCTTTGGGATGACAGATTTAACAGCAGTTTGGTTTATGTGGGCTCAACCAAACGCTCCCTTCACAAAAGGCTGTGTGAGCACAAACGTGACATCGACAATAAAAAACACACCACCGCCCTCTCAACGGTTGCCACTGAACCGGGAATCACGGCCGACATACAAAATGCCCACATGATCAGGCTCTCACATCGCACTGATCAACTGAGAACGATGGAAACTCTAGAAATATACAAGGCAGGATTACGTGGCACGTGCATCAACTCCAGAAATGCAGTCGGTATATCTAGCATGTGGAAGTTTTGTTATGAGGGAACTCATCCCCATAAATGAGTGTGTATAATTCGTCTGCTTCTACCGTTATGCAAACTTGATATTACACATGCTTTACAGTCGTTTCAGCGCGTGCGTAACGTTCCACGAGTATTCTTAAATCTGTTTATAAATTTTGAATCGTATACATTCCATTCCAAACGCATTCAAATTCCTAATTAAAGTAGCCTGATGCAGAGCCGGCCCTACCATAGAGCAAATGGAGCAGCCACTCCAGGTGCTAAGTCCTAGGGGGCACCTCAGTGGTAAAGAAAATTAAAGGGCATAAATTAGGGGCAACCAAGGGGCGCCATAATAGGATCTCGCTCCATCCTAAAACTTGCCTCGAGCCGGCACTGGCCTGATGAAGACCTCGATGAGGTTGAAAACATTTGCTAAGGTGTAAACACATACCACTGGAGCTGTAAAGGTTGTTTGAAGTGCTGAATTGTAACTCCTCTAGTGTTGGAAGACGTTTATTTCTTACAGTGCTTTTAGTAATGATGAAGAAAACATTGTTTAATTTATATTAATATGTGTCACTTAAGAAAATTTTAATATATTTATTAGTGTTGCAACGAATAGTATATTCGGCCAGGAGTGCGGCCGAATAGCCGAATATTTGGCCATACTATTCAGCTTGATTAATGCACATACAAAAATTGGCACGCAAACCGCATTATGGCAAGGACCCTGCTCTCTATTGGCCTGCTGTCGCTATGCTTCGCCAATCGCATTAATTCTTGACAGTTGAAGCAGACAGACACAAGCATCATGGCAATATGCAGTGGTGATATTCAGCGGGTTCGCACAGGTTCGGCCGAACCTGTTGTTAACATTTTCAAAGTTTTCCGAACCCGTTGTTAAACACACGTAACATTTCTCAGCGGTTTTGTTTCTTTTAAAAAATATATTAAAATATACGTATTATACTCTGTAACACTACTAAACTAGAGCCTTATACCCCGTTCGCCTTGTTCCACTTGTCGCCGTTCGCATATAACCTCCATCGACCGTTTCAATCTCGACTGAAACGAGATTTAATCGCGATCGACTCAAGAGAGTTCTTGAAACTAGATCCAGTCATACGAGGGATCCCACAATCCCACGCGCGCGAGAAAATACAAGATGGCTGCGGAACACGTGTCCGGCTATCGACAGCGAAATAAAAAAGATATTGTATTTCGAGAAACAATGACATCTGTCTCTTATTATAATAATACCTAATGATAAAATAAACGATTTAAAAAGTTTTTTCTTGAGAAAAAGTCATAGGGAAAGCAATTAACTCCTTGGGACTCTAGCAATTTTTGATATTAATGTAATTAAACATAAAAAATACTTAAAACTGAAAAAACGAAAGAAATGCGTTAATTTTGAAGAAAAAGCTTCAGATTTTATTTTCCTTTGTCTCGTCTTTCTGTGAAATCTTACGCTGATGAGTCATTGTTTAAACAGCTGGATGACCTTGAACACAGCTGGAGTCCGATTTTCCGGGACATTCTCATAGAAGTCTCGGGAGGCGATAGGTTTATAGTAGGGTGAATACTAGTTGGCCGTATATTTTTAAATATTTTTAAAAAATTAAAATTTTTATTGCGATTTCCGACCCCCCGACTTAATTAAACTTATATATAATAAAATCTATTAATTAAAAAAATTTAGAAACTATCGGAGGTCGTTTTTGACATCAGAAACTAGCTTTAAATAACTTTACCGAAGTAAAATCCGTGCGCTACAACTTTAGAACGATGAATGAAATTTGATATCAAACTCCCATTAAAAAACAATTAAAAAGCAATTAAGGGTGAATCGTGCGTCATTAAAGGTAAATTAAAATCGCGATAAAATTTTTTCGCGCGGGAAAAAATTTGGAGACTTAAAAAACATTCCATAAAGCCAAAAAAAAACAGAACTTTGAGGGGGACCAAACGCCCGAGTTTTATGTAACGCTATGTAACTTGCCCGAGATATCTCGGGCTTGGGGTTAGGTTAAGGAAAAAGTTTCTGTTAGCGAACCCTTTGTTAAATATTTCGAATATCACCACTGGCAATATGTGATAAGTGATGATATCAAATGTGGATAACACTGAAATGACCTACACGTGTAAATAATGGAAAAAGAAGAGAGAAGGACCGCAAAGTGAAAATGTGAAAATAAATATGAAATTAAGTTGATAACATAATTGAACAAGTTGAGGCAGCTTATTGGCACGAAATTCGCAGCCGTCAATGCCAAACAATTGTTGTCATAGACTTCAGAAAGCTAAATGCTTGTAATGAAAGTCAGTTAGCGTGCACGGGCGAAAGCCTGGGGCCATTCAAGCTACCACGCTGTCTTGAATATGTGAAATCATAATTGTGACTTATACCAACATCCTATCTGTCTTTTTTCTTCGTTATCACCAGCTATGAGTCACGTAATTGTAAAATGGGAAATATATGACGGAAAAGTGACGAATCGAAAGTATCATGAGTGTACATTATGATGTATGCATAGGCATACATGGACTAGAGTGATAGAGGAAAGAGAAAGGGAAGAGCAAGACGAGCACTTAAAAAGAAGGATAGGCAGGGTCAGACCCTCACTGTCAGATGTGCGACGATTCTCAAACGAATAGGTGTGTGTGTGTGCTGATCTTTGTAATTATAAATTGTGAATACATGTAACTAATATTATTTTCTTTTTTATTTTGTGCATGTTATAAGTTATAAATAAATATAAACAAAGAACACTAACCCGATAACATTAAATCTAAATACCAAAATGATTAATTTGCTGTATTTTTGTTATTTCTTACTCCTGTTTTTTAGGTATTCGGTATTCGGCCGAATAGTGATTAAATATTCAGTATTCAGTCGAATACTGAACAGTAACCGAATATTCGCTACATCACTAATATTTATCTTAATTATGGAAATATAATAGCATGTTTTTTAATTTTTGAAACCTAACCCTCCTTTTCGTACTAGTTCTTTGTTTTGCATAACACGACAATTTTTTGGAACATAACTCCCGTGTTATACTGGGTTACTTGTATTTGGTTAATTAATATATAGTTTTTAATAATGCTTCAGTCAGGTTATTAAAAGTTTATCTTTCAACTGGTTATTAAAAATCATTCTACTACACAATCTTTTAACTATAATATTTAATTAAACAATAAAAATAAAAACATTCTTACGCTTCTTCTGGATTAACAATAATTGCCCTTGGTTTATCTAAATCCTTCCAAAACAGAACCTTTCTCATAGACCCATCTAAATTAGAGATTTCTATACGAGATGTTCCAGAATCAGTCCAAAGAATTTTATTACCAATCCAATCAATTGCTAATCCTCCGGGACTAATCAAGCCATTATTTATTATCTCTTTGACATCTGTACCATTCAAGAATGCTGAATGAATAGCATTTGCTGTGATATCAGACCAGAATATTCTTCCAAGAGTAAAATGAAAATCAATAGCAATGGCATTTTGCAAGCCAGCTAAAACAGATGTATATTCTAAGTTATTAAGAGTGATTCGACGAATATCAGCACGGTTAGCAAACACCAAATATGGTTCTGAACCTAGAAAATTTAGAGTCATCATTAAATTAATCCATTAGTTATTTTTATTATCTAATGGTAATAAATACCATTAGATAATAAAAATAATAAAATTACAATTAAAACTCATATACAATAAATCTATTAGATTTTTTAAGCATTAATTGAATTTGTTCTCATATCCTTTCCTATATTCTATGTGGATTGTCCAGTAGATATCCAGATTGATTTTATTTCAAACAAGCAATTGTTTATTGTGACATTGTCATAATGTCAGTCTGAAATTTTTAATTTATTTAATTTAAAATATATTCTTTTCACCTCAAACTGTTAGTAATGGCTTGCCCCTGTACATCATACTTTTCCTTCAACAATAGGATCATGCTGGTTATCTATTAATTGCTTTCAAAAGAAAGTTTTGAATTGAAACAACATGAATTATGGTTTGATTTGGTTTAAAATTTCATATATAGTTAATTGGGACCTCCTGCCCCTAAAGTTTCCATATCTGGTCTCAGATTTCATCTATCTAACTCCATTCTTGAGATTAAGGAAAGACACACAAATGGACGGACAGCATTGAATATTTATAGCAATGACTCTCAACCACTATGCCACAGCACAACGAAGTGCCGCGAGATTTTTGAAGTGTGCCACCACTGCGAATACCCATACATAAGCAATGTCAGACAAATAGTTCAATTGGTTCTACCTTCCTAGGGTGCGTTTGGAATTTCCGAATTTGGTGATTCCAATTGAGAATCACTTACCAAAGTAACCATGTGTGCTGCCAAATTTTTAAATTACTAAAAGTGTACCATGACAAAAAAAGTTGAAAATCACTGGTCTACAGTTTTTTCAAATTGCAGCAATGTAACTAAATCAAACCTCATGTTCAAGTCACTGATACATACTGGACAAAGTACAATTTCCTGATTTTCTTTTCTGTCTTATTACTAAACACTACAACAGAATATATTTGGAATATATAATTCCATANATTAAAGTCAATTTTTGGGAGAATAAAATTAAATTCAGGCATTTCTTAGCCCCTGCTAGCTTATAAACATGTTGGTGTTTCATTGAAAAATGCTCAAATCTGATGCTTCTTTATGCATAAAATTATTTTTTTAGCTTTTAATTAAGATATATTTTATTAGAATTTGCATTTTATGCCGTATATTTAAATTAAATTTCCATTAAAAAAAATGTTAAGCAGCATAAAAATCCCTCATAGACTTAGCATTTTTGCAGTTAGCCTGCACACCTGTTGTTGACATTAATTTGGGATTATAATGATATTCAATTCAATTCATTTACGGAGGCATAAATGCATACCTTGGCTCTGCTATGAGCACTACCAAGGAAATAAAATACAGGAAATGTAAACAAACAACAGTATGCAAATACTGTTTCCATGCAGAACTTTAAGTTAATGGATAAAATCCATAAAATTATAATTGATATAGTGCATGTCAATTTTCTGAAGAAGGGAAAGATTTTCAATATAGCCACTTACTATTCTAAATTACTAACTGGTAAAGTTCACAATGCCAAACAGCAGAAAAGAACAGGAATGTCAAACAAAGATGTCATTTGATTGCAGGATAATGCAAGACTAAGCATGTTAAGATCTAAGTTCTTGCCAAAATAGAAGTATTGCCACATCCTCCTTAAAGTCTGGACCTGTTGCTAAGCCATTGGCACGCTAAGAATAAACTAGGGGCTAGTCTCCAAAATTCCTTGAAGTACTGTCTGAATATTACTTTAAATGCACTTGTATTTAAAAGCTTTCACTTAATACACAAAAAAATATGCATTTTTTTGTGTATTTTTTCCATCTGGTCTCCTCTCCTTTACGCTAAGTTCAACTCTTTCACGAACCAACCTGAACACCCCTCAGGGCTCCTTTAGTTGACTTGTCAGCAGGACTAGCTTGCAGACACATGTTCCTGTCAGTCATACTGTTTTCTGTTTTGTGCGCATCCATGCAATTCTTTAATAATAGATTTTGTTTCCTGCACTTATTGAAAAGAACATTGCATTAGTGATTTTTGTATTTCTATTATTATAACACACTTAAAATTTTTTGTCTAAAGTGTAAATCTACTTAAAAGAAGATATATATGATTAGAAAGCTTTGAATTCAACATGGAAGAGAACTTGTTAGAAGAAGCAGGTCCCTTTCATTGAAACCTAACACAGTTTGATTCTGTGATTGATGCAGCTGATCTAGGTGAATCATCACAGCAGAGTGAAGACAATCAACAATTTCTGTGCTGTATTCTGGATTGCCTGCTTGAAAAACATCATTTGGAACCTTAAGTTTCCAAGAAAAAAACAATCCAGCAACAAGNGTATCTTTTACACTACTTCATGCAGAGTAATTTGTTTGCTCTATGCCAATACATTTTTGAAGTGAAGCTTTTTCTATGAGGCAGAATTGTGTTTGTTCCCAAAATCTATTTGCTAGATTTTGATTAATTTTGCCATTAATTGCTATCTTTTACGATACGAGAACATCTTAACAGGTTATATTTTAATTATTATAAAATAGCAGAAAGCTTAATTTTGAGGGTGGAATTGGTTTTATAAAAATTTGTAAATGCTAATAACAAATAAAATAAAGTCTGACCCTACTGCAGATATGACACACAAACCTCTTTATCTCCCCACTCCCTCAACCTTTAACAATCAAAAGTTAATAGCATCAATCCCCTAATACACAAACCTCCCTGAAAAATTTCAGAAATTTTTGACTAAAGGCACAAGAATTATTAAGCTTCAGAAAGGGTGAACAAAATTGTGCCCCCCCACAAATACACTAACATCCATACATACAGGGAAAAAAACCTTGAATTTTTTGCATTTCTTAACGTTTCACGGTCTTTTGAATCCAAAATGTAAAAATCTGGAGGGGGATCGTTTTCTGACCAATTGCCATACTTTCCCTCTGTGATATATAACAGAGCCAGGAAAGTAAAAATCAATGTGCAAATAAAATGAGTTTTTTCACGTGTTTAAATAATAATTGTTATAATGTATGAAAAATGGGTTTTCCACATCTGGTCCCTTTTGAAAATTGTCACCACATACTGCTGTGCTAAATGATTATTATTTGGTTTGTCCCGTGAAAGAATTTCTCAGTGAAAAAGTATGAAGACAATGATGAGGTAATCAATGCAGTTCTTCAATGGTTTCAGAGTCAACCAAAAGAATTCTATTGGAAGTAATCACAGAATTGCTATGAAGAACTTATCATGCAGGAACACTGATGACTGGTTATAACAAATCTACTGTGCTCTTGTATAATTTCTCCATAGCAATTCTGTGCTTCTTCCAAAGGTCTAAATCAAGAGAACAAGAAGCAATCAAGTACAAAAGAATTAGATGTTGTTAAAATACAAAAATTGATGGACTAATATAAAAAAAATACCTGGAAATAACAAAAGACTGTTGAAAACTAGCATTCATAATTTCTTTCTATGCATAATATCTGTGTAGTAATAAAATCAGTACAGATATTTACTGGATAATCCTTGTAATTTTAATATCTTCCTAGGTTTTTATACACAAATTACCTACATGCAGTTTATGATAAAAAATACAAAGTAGTTAAAAATAAAATATTTTTCAGCATTCCCTCTTAAACTGTTTTGCATATAGAACAAGAACAAAAAAAAATAAGCTTAATTAAGATTAAACATAGAAAAAACTATTCTGATTTTTATTTCTTTTATTGAACATACTTAATGTTTTTATAATTAAATCTACAGCATAAAAGGAAAAATTAAACTTTTTTAATCAGTTTTAACTTTTTTATCAATTTAACATTTTAAAAACTAAAATAATTCTTTACCCATTGCTTTGCACCTGTGCCCATCTGCTCTCAATCTATAACCCTTTACACATGAGCAAAGGAAACTGGGCACAGTATTTTGGCATTCTTGACTGCAGGTTCCTTCTTCTTCACATTCATCTATATCTGAAATTCAATAATTACTATTTAATAGTTTTATAAATTAATTTTTTTATTATAATATTTTTAGTAAAACTTTATCATAGAGAATTATAAAATTTAGTTTAAAATTCTAACTGAACATCTAATAAAATTCTTTTAAAAATATACCATTCTCATTCTGTTTTTGGAGAATAAAAACAAATCAAACTGTTTTTTTTTTTTCAAATTAACTTAAAAGTCAATAATTATTTAACTGTCTTGTCTTGTCTTTTTATGTTGGGCAAGAGCTACTAGGCTATGTTGCCCCATAGTAAGTTGCAACGTGTGATGTGACATAGTTAGACACTCAGCAGTCAGTGACGACTATAGTCGTCAAGGGCAACTGTATGGCAGTGATGAGGGATGACTATAGTCATCAAATTCTTTTGGGAGTATTGCCAAAAACTAGCCTAAAACTACCGCGAAAAAAAATTCACATAAAAAATGAATTATGTAACAATAAAAAAAAAAACACTTCTTTACTAGATATGACTGTTTACAAAATCTTTTTTTTGAAACAGTAATGAGAAAAAACACGTGGAAAAATACTTTAAAAATTTCCCACGTTTATTCTCCACTACTGGGGGTAGAACCATACCCGACTAGTCCACTGTTGAAAGGTTAGTAATTATATATTTGTTATACTTGGAGAGCAGGGAATGATGCCTTCAGGGAGCTTTTAAGAGTAACTGATCCCTATTCCATAACTAAGTAACTGTTTTTTTTAATCACTGCAGAGCAGGCTATCTGCTCACTGCACATAAATAGGGCTATTGCCAAGTAAATTGATAGCCTTTGTAAATAGTATATATTTTTTTCATCAGAAAGAGTTTTATTTCAAAACAAAACTTTCAAAACAAATTCAAAGAAATGTATAAATGAGCAATTATTTATTGTGACATTGTCACAATGCTGGACTGCAATTTTATGTCACAATGTTCTCAACTTTTTAGTAGTGTTTTGCTAACAGGAAAACTATGACTGTACTTTACCTGTTAGGAATAGAGTTGTAACAGTGATCTATCTAACTCTGTTCAGGGGAAAAGTTATTTAAATTCAAAAAGTGACTTCTGGTTTGCACTGGAAGTTCATATATAGTTAATTAGGGCCTCCTGCCTCTAAGCTTTCCATATCCATATCCTTGTCTTTCATCTATTTAACTGCATTCTCGAGATTAAGGAAGGACAGACAGTGAGCAAACAGACAAAGTGAAAAATTGATAGGTCTACATGTTTTTAAAATTGTAGCCCAATTAGCTTTCTTTGTATTGGTTAAAATATTTGAAATGTTTAACTTCTGAATCAAAAGTGTCTTTAACTGTTTAATATGTTTAATCATTCTTAGTTATAATTTATTAAATAACTAATGAATTATTCAGTAGCACATCAAAATCATTGTCAGGGAACATCAAAAATAGATTTGTGCATAAATGTTTTTTCTTTTCATACATACATCTAAAAGGATTTGTAAACACAGACATACATTAAAATATTTTTGTTTTTGCTCTATTTTATTTTTTATATATTCATTTTTTATTTTTGGTTGAGGATATTATATGTCCTATGTCCTCCTCTGAATATACTTTTATTATATTACTGACCATCATTGAAAAAATTTGTATACTAAAGGTTAAATTACTTCTTTCTAAAAGTAAGTTTTTCTATGAAGGAAATACTATTAGCAGTTAAAATTAGGCACTAGACTACTTAACATCTAAAAGTTATTTGTTACTCGTATGTTAATTTCATATACTTTTATTAATCATTATGTTTAAGATTTATTCAACTAATAATTATTTCTTAAATAATATAATATAATTAATATAATAATTAATACATACCAATACAAGAGCGACCATCTGTAGCCAATCTATAACCATCTTTGCAAGCACATCTTTGTCCAGCTGTAGTCGTTAAACATAAATGCTGACAAGGAAAACCATCTTCTCTACAAGGTGAACCAGTTTCTATAAGAAATAATTAAAATTTAAAATAACTGACAATGCCAATTTAGTTCCATTTTCAGTTATTGTTACAAAAATCTAAATAATGGTATTTTTAAATACAATAACACCAAAAATCCAGCAGTATATCACTAATATACAAACAAATACTTTCAATCATCATGAATGATTCACATTATCAAGTGCTGCTGGATTTTTGATGTTAATATGCTTATTTGATCTTTATCCAGTTTTATGAGCTGTTTTATGACTATAGTAGAGTGTCGATTTTCCGAATCAATTGGGGACTGGGGTTGTTCGTATAACTGATATTTCGGATAACCGATTTATGTACGAAAAAATAGTTTAACATATCCGATGTTGAAATTTTTCTCCATTGCGTGTCGCTTTGCATTGAATTTTCGTCAATGTTAAGCCTAACGAAGACTATTGTATCATAAAAAATTATTTTTTTATTTTGTACAAACAAAATAAATACAGTAGAGCGTCGATTTTCCGAAAGTCAATCATCCGAAACATCAATCATCCAAAAGAATTCCAGTCGGCAAATTTAAATTTTCGCCAGTGCTGTGGCGCTTCAATCTTTGGCTATGTCTTGGGCTACTCAAATATTTTACGTTTTTGATACTAAATTAACATCTGAAGTATAATTTTTTATTGTTTTTATATTTTTCAATATATTTATTTTGTTTGTACAAAATAAAAAAATAATTTTTAACGATACAATAGTCTTCGTTAGGCTTAACATCGACGAAAATTCAACGCGAAGCGACACGCAACGGAGAAAAATATCAACATCGGATACGTTAAACTATTTTTTCGTACATAAATCGGTTATCCGAAATATCAGTTATACGGACAACCCCAGTCCCCAATTGATTCAGAAAATCGACGCTCTACTGTATATTGAAAAATATAAAAACAATAAAAAATTATACTTCAGATGTTAATTTAGTATCAAAAACGTAAAATATTTGAGTAGCCCAAGACATAGACAAAGATTAAAGCGCCACAGCACTGGCGAAAATTTAAATTTGCCGACTGGAATTCTTTCGGATGATTGACTTTTGGAAAATCGACGCTCTACTGTATTTTTTTACTAAATTAATCATGGATTGACTAACATAACATAAATCACTTGATAATTCATAAACACATTTACTAGCCTAAATCAAAATACTTTCAGAATACGCTACCTGAGAAAATAAGTATTATGAATAAAAATGCAGAAAAACAACTAACTGTATTAACTAACTTACATTACAACACAAAGCAAATAAAATCAAAAATTTTTGATAAAATTTAGAAGAGCAACCATTAACGAACCTTTAGATCCAGTTGCAAAAAATATTTAATAAAACATTCAATGAATACTTTCAACCTTACCCAAAGTCAAAATTTGAAGTCTGCTTCTTCATATATATATATATATATATATGAAGCAGCTTCATGTATATCACTGTCACTGTTAAGTTTCTATTTGTGTTATATGTTTAAAATATTTAAAATTAATATTTAAAAACATTCTGTTCTAAGCATTCTGATTCTGGAATTTAGTTGGTTCTCAAACCTGAAGTAGATCTTGAGTAAGATTGATAGCATTCGTTAGATGTTTTATTAAATATTTGTTTTGCTACTGGATTTAAAGGTTGTCATTAGTTCTGGTAATTGAGTCAGAAGATATGCTTATTTAGAACATAAAAATTTTTCTATTTATTATTATATTTCAAAAGATTCATAAGTAACTATGTACATAAACGTGAAAACTTACTGCAAGTTTTATTAGCAAGTTCATCAGATCCATCTGGACAATCAAATTCTCCATTACAAAGCAATAATTGATTTATACACGTACCATCTGTGCAGCGGAATTCTCCTAATTTACAATCCATATTCTCTGGAAACATAAAAATAGTTTTAATTTGCTGATATATAATGATATCATATATAAAATAGAAAATAAAATATAAAACCTTTTCTTTATGAAAATTAAATTTTACAATTATAAAATCTAACAATTTCATTATTTTGCCAATATTTAATCCATAATAACAACTTTTTTAAATGGATATTGCTTTTACAAGTGATAAAAACTATATTTAAATATTTTCTTGGCAAATAGAATAACTATAAGATAACCCAGTATATTTAAAATCGTTTCAGAACTCTTTTAATATATTCTCTTATATTGCTTCAATATATTAATACACAACTTACTGGCTTCAAACATAAATAAAATCATTAAAAACTGAAAAATGATAAGTATTAGTTGCCAATTTGAACCATTAAATTTTAGAAAAATCTAAAATTCTATCAACTGAACTAATCTGATTAATTCAAATTATTTGGCATTTCTTATTCCATACAATAACAACTACTGCAAAAATCTCAATACCTATCCATACCAAAATAAATGCTTTCTCCTTATACAGTACCAAATAAAAACATTTTTTAAATTCTAAAACATTTGCCTCCCAATTTTAAGATTTTTTCTACTACCAAAATGAGGATTCTGAATTAAGCATGTTTTCCTAAAAAAACATCATATAACCACAGTTTCTAATGCAAAATGCAATGTTAAGTTTGGGACAATTTTCAGTTACCCCGAGGAGCACTAAAACTATATTTCAAACTAAAGTTTATGATGAGAAGAAGACAATGGTACAGTTTGATGTTGGGGAAGTAGAAGAAATAGGTTGAAAATAGCTTTTCACATAAAGCAGAAAGTGCATGCACTTAAACTTACTGTTATGCATACTATTTCAAATAAATGTAAAAATTCATTACTGCTGACAACAGAGTGAAATTCAGGTTTTGCATCTTTTACTATCAATTTAGTATAAGATTTTACAAGTTCAGTACAAAATATTACAAGACAAAATACAGTACAAAATATTATGCTAGCTTTGCACAATCAAAATATCACATCCATTTACTAAAGTACTGAGCAGGACACAATTATTTCTAAAATATATGTTTTTGATAAACTTAAAAATTTGGATGAATTACTTTAATTGTACAGTAGAGCATCGTTTATCCGAAAGTTGGTTATCCAAAACGTCGGTTATCCGAAAGTTGGTTATCCAAAACGTCGGTTATCCGAAAGAATTCCAGTCGCCAAATTTAAATTTTCACTAGTGCTGTGGCGCTGCAATCTTTGGGTATATCTTGGGCTACTCCAATATTTTTTTTTTGTTGGTGTGTGTGTTTTAGCTGGTAGCACTGGTACTTTTGTGTGGTGTTTTTCTGAGAACTGTGTGGGGTGCTGAATCGAATGTTTTTGATACTAGATCAATTCTAAAGTATATATTTTTTTGGTTTTTATATTTTTCAATATATTTATTTTGTTTGTAAGAAATAAAGAAATAATTTTTAATGATACAATAGCCACGATTATTATTTTAAAAAGTTTATGTTAGGCTTAACATCGACGAAAATTCAACACGAAGCGACACACAACGGAGAAAAATTTCAACACAGGATACATTAATACATTTTTTCGTACATAATTGGTTATCCAAAAAATAAGTTATCCGAACAACCCCAGTCCCCAATTGATTCGGATAAACGATGCTCTACTGTATTTACATAAAATTTCTACTTATTTTAATATTATTTTAAATAATGATGATATAGCTCTCCAATAACCGTGATTTTTAATTAGTAAAGTAATAAAAACTGAAAATAATAATTAAATTCTAAGAAAATTTTTCTTTTCCTGAAGCAATTGAGGAATAAAAAAGTGTAATTTTCAAACTATTTCCTTGGTTCCTCAACTTGAAACTGATACCTTTGTGTTCCTTGGTAACCTTTAATGAATTTTTGATCATAAGTAGAAAATTACGAATTTTTTAAAATTTGAATTAATGATCAAAATTTATTATTGTATTTTTTCAAAATTTAATCAATTTAGATCACATTTTGTATTTTATTAAGAAATATATATAAAAATATTGTTGAATAAATAGAAGTTAAGAAAAAACTGAAAAATTAGCTTTAATTTACTGGAAAACTAACAAAATCACTGATATTTATTATTTTAGAAATGAATAATTTATATTTGTTCCAAAACTTTTCAAATTTTGATACAACTATAATATAATAAAATAGTTACTATTTTTCACAAAGCATTATGTCAAATTATAAATATCAATAATTATCTTACTACATGCTTCTTCATCACTATTATCTGAACAATCAACAGCACCATCACAACGCCAAGCTTTATGGATACACCGGCCAGATTTGCATTGAAACTCATCAGCTGCACATTCCACAGAACCTATTTTATTATAAATAGAATTTGATGTAATATTTTAAATTTTTCAGCTAAACTCTATTGTAATAATTTTATGTAATATTTTTAAAAATTTAATGAGGTATAAAATAAATGTTTGAAATNATAATTTTTTATGGTTTTTATATTTTTCAATATATTTATTTTGTTTGTAAGAAATAAAGAAATAATTTTTAATGATACAATAGCCACGATTATTATTTTAAAAAGTTTATGTTAGGCTTAACATCGACGAAAATTCAACACGAAGCGACACACAACGGAGAAAAATTTCAACACAGGATACATTAATACATTTTTTCGTACATAATTGGTTATCCAAAAAATAAGTTATCCGAACAACCCCAGTCCCCAATTGATTCGGATAAACGATGCTCTACTGTATTTACATAAAATTTCTACTTATTTTAATATTATTTTAAATAATGATGATATAGCTCTCCAATAACCGTGATTTTTAATTAGTAAAGTAATAAAAACTGAAAATAATAATTAAATTCTAAGAAAATTTTTCTTTTCCTGAAGCAATTGAGGAATAAAAAAGTGTAATTTTCAAACTATTTCCTTGGTTCCTCAACTTGAAACTGATACCTTTGTGTTCCTTGGTAACCTTTAATGAATTTTTGATCATAAGTAGAAAATTACGAATTTTTTAAAATTTGAATTAATGATCAAAATTTATTATTGTATTTTTTCAAAATTTAATCAATTTAGATCACATTTTGTATTTTATTAAGAAATATATATAAAAATATTGTTGAATAAATAGAAGTTAAGAAAAAACTGAAAAATTAGCTTTAATTTACTGGAAAACTAACAAAATCACTGATATTTATTATTTTAGAAATGAATAATTTATATTTGTTCCAAAACTTTTCAAATTTTGATACAACTATAATATAATAAAATAGTTACTATTTTTCACAAAGCATTATGTCAAATTATAAATATCAATAATTATCTTACTACATGCTTCTTCATCACTATTATCTGAACAATCAACAGCACCATCACAACGCCAAGCTTTATGGATACACCGGCCAGATTTGCATTGAAACTCATCAGCTGCACATTCCACAGAACCTATTTTATTATAAATAGAATTTGATGTAATATTTTAAATTTTTCAGCTAAACTCTATTGTAATAATTTTATGTAATATTTTTAAAAATTTAATGAGGTATAAAATAAATGTTTGAAATTTAAACAATGATTCATTTTTGTGCATTAAAAATCTTATATTTTTATCTCCATTTTTTATGAGTTTATAATTAATGTAAGCAAATTTGTATTTTGTATGAAATTTAATGTTCAACTTATAATATTGTTTTCATTCTCTTCAAATTGTAAAATATAAAGTTAAACAAAGAATTTAAATAAACTAATCTTGCAAATATTAATAATGTTTTATATATACTAAAATTCAACAGATAAAAAGAAAAACTAACAGCTTCACATATGCTTAATTCCACAAGTTTAAAATAATTTCTATAATATTCACTTCATTATCAATTGTTTTTAGTCATTTAATGTATATAAAAATTTAAAATTACAACATATAAAAGATAACCGTAGTTAAAACATAATTTTAAATTTTAGTTTTTAAATTAATTTTTAAATAAACATTAACAGCGTGTTTTAATTGAAACAGCTGAACTTTATTACTAATTATATTGAGTTGTTCGGAAAGTAATTTCAGTTTTTTACCACTAGAAGGATTAGTCGTATTTTTCCCGCCATTTTCATTCTAAACCGTATTATCATTATATATTTTAACAGCTAGCATTTTAAGGCTTATTTGTAAAAAATTTTGCTTGATTTTGTGCAATTGTTTATTTTTTGTGTTCTGTCAAATATGAAAGATCGAAAGCAACATTTTTGGCATATTTTGCTCTTTTATTACTGAAAAGGTAAGAATGCTGTTCAAGTGAGAAAAAAAATTGTGTGATGTGTATGGAAAAGATGTATTGAGAGAATGACAGTGCCAAAACTGGTTTACAAAATTTCGTTCTAACAATTTCAATATTGAAGATGCACCACGTTCTGGATGGCCAGTTGAAGCCAATGAAGACAAAATAAAGGTACTGATTGAAGCAAACTGCCAAATAACAACATATGTAATCACTAAGAGATTAAATTTGTCAAATTGAACTGTTTATGATTACTTGAAACAAATTGGTTTTGCTTCAAAGCTTGATATATGGGTTCCACATGTTCTTAAAGAGAGATGCTCTCTTTGGTGGGATTTTAAGGAAATTTTTTTTTGGAGCTTTTACCAGACAATTCAACAATTGATTCAAAAGTGCACAGCCATCAAGTAAACAAATTGAGTAATATCATCAAACAGAAAAAGCCAAAATTGATCAACAAAACAGGTGTAGTGTTTTACTACAATAATGTCAAATTTCACACAAGTTTGGTAACTGGTCAGAAACTATTATAACTTAGATGGGACTTGCTATCACACTGACCATATTCACCAGATCCAGCACACTCAGATTATTACTTGTTCCGGTCTATACAAATTTTTTTTAACTGTAAGACATTTACTTGAAATGACAATGTCACAAATCACTTGGATCAGTTTTTTTGTAAGCAACGATCAAAACTTTTATGAATGTGAAATCATGCTACTACCAGAAACGATGACAACAGGTATTTGACCAAAATGGTCGCTATATAATTCAATAAAATATTTATTTATTATAAAAATATTGTTTTTTTCCACAGAAAAAAACGAAATTACTTTCCGAACAACCCAATAGAAAGTGTAAACAAATATTGTTTAATTTTTTAATCTTATAAACCCTTAATTATAATTAATTCTCTTAATTTTTATTATTTTACTTTGATTATTTAAGAGTTTAATTTAACATAATTGCTACAAAGTCAATGATAATAATATGAAAATGTATCCTACATTAGAAAGCCAATAATAGAAAAGTTTTTATTCTAAGAATTATAAATAATAATAATGGTAGTAGCTAGATAATATATTAATTTTATTATTGATATCAAATTTATTGAAACTAACTTGACCCTCTTGCAGACCAGTCAGAAAAGAGTTAAAAAAAATGAAGTTATTTTAATTATAATTATGTAGTATACAGAATTTCATTCACAAAACTTTTCTAAAAGAATTTAAATAAAACTATCATTAATCTATACTAATATTATAAAGAGGTAATGTTTGTAAGTATGTATGTAAGTTTGTTTGCAGCAGGTAATCTCCGAAACTACTCATCCGATTTCAAAACTTCTTTCACCAATATTTAGAATGGAACCTCAGGGTGGACATAGGCTGTATATTATTCCGTTAAACATTCATATAAATTAAAAGATATAATCTAGGTTTAGACTTTTATGTCTAACAGATGGCGCTACGAGTACGACACCCTAAGTTTGCTTTTCTGTCAGGCATTACACTTTTCTGTGAAAATGAATTTAAGCAGATCATCTTCTATCTATTTATATAAATAAAAATGTAATGCTCGTTTGTTCCTACCGATTCCTTTGAAATTTTGACACAACGCTGCATTAGAATGTGCACGTGTTTTTATATAATATAAAATACGTGTCGAAATTTCCCGCACTGGGGGGAGATAGACAGGATTAAGGCTTACGGTAAAGAACTCTGCTTCTATTTATACTATTTCAGATGTGGTTTTTTGCGTTTTTGATTGTGTTTTAATAGGGTACGTCAACAAAATGTATATTAAGAAGAAATTTTTCGAAAAATTTCCCCCCCACGGGGGAAGTGTTATACATTTATAATAGATATATTTTGAGCCACAACAATGCATGGCAGGGTCTGCTAGTGTCATATAAATCTTTATAAATCTGCAAAATTACATTAACCAAAAATATAAATTTATACAAGTAATAACAGATGATCATTCTAACAAGCATATGCTTACTACTCGTATTAAAATAACTTTCTATCACCAGTACAAATATCAAGATAGAGAAATATTTAAATAAATTTAATTTTACTTAAATTATTTTATATAAATTTGTAAGTTAAAATATGCAGTTTTTAAAAATGATTTAATCTCAAATGATCCTAAAACACATATGGAATGCAGTCAGATAATCACATGGTGTAAGAAAGGGAATGTATGAAAAGAGTGGTTGAAGGAGGAGAAAAGAGTCTTTTGTAAAGAAAGATTTTTGGATATGCTTTGCACTTGTTTCACTTAATTAAAGGTAGAGTCAGTTCTACCTGAAGACAAAGATTAGGGCCATTGAAAAGGAAAGCTATGGATTTTTCCCTCTTGCCCAGGGAAAACTGAGAGACACATAGTGGTTTCCATCCCTGTAAAGTTAATGTTATTTTTACTAACGGAAAATAAAATCTTTAAGATTGTTTTTATTCATAAAGAAACATTCTATGTATTTGATTTCTTAAACTAAAAAGATTTCTAAAAAAGCATGCAAAGAGGTCCACTATATCCCAAGCACCATACAAGTTCTTGACAGTCCTGATAAAGATTTTAGCTTTATTGTTTTTGGTGTAACATGTTTTATGTTTGTACTGATGTAGGATAGTTGGACTTTGTAAGCTCCTGCAAGTGGAAAACCATTTACATAACTGGCACTTCCACAAAAATGCAATTTAGATCTTTAGCTGTTCAAAGTAAAAAATTGCATTAATAAAGTATTTAATAAAACAGAAAATGGTATGTTTACTAAAATTTATAGCATTTAATACTTAAATTACAAATAAAATGCTAAAAATGTAGGTCATTTTTTAAAATAATTTTACTAAAAAAATAAAAATATAAGAGTTTGGAGTCTTTCAAAAAACAATAATAATGAGATATATAAAATAAACATGAACTATAATATTCTAGTGAAAATTTTTCTTGCAGAACTTTCTTGATTATTACAACTAGTTAAATACAGAAAAGAAGAAACAAATTAAAATCAAAAATATATAATCAAAATTTTAAAAAAATCAAATATAACATAATTAAACAATTATTCTTATCCAATTGTATAGAACCATAACAGAGAAATTATTCTTTATGTGTAAACATTAATTTGTATATTGTTATTTATTATAATTGTAATAAATTAACTCTGAAATATAACATAATTACGTAATAAATAATGTTATTTACAACTTTTAGTATTAATATTTTAATAATAATAATAATAATAAAATTTTTGTTATATTTACCACAATCTTTTTCATCTGAATGGTCATCACAATCATTATCTCCATCACATTTCCAGTTCTTACTAATGCATATTCCATTTTCACATTGAAATTCTTCAGAGTTGCATTTTACTTTTCTTTCTTTATAAAAATAAAATACATATAATCAACATAATCAAATGCAAATTTTATTAAAAATACATCATTGAATTCATTAGAAAAAGAAAATCATATTAATATTTATAATGTAAAACAGAATTTTATATTACAGTAATACCCCGACTTACACTACCCCGACTTACGCGATTTTCAAATCTCGTTGATTCATCTTTTGTTTGAGCGCCACGCAACCCTTGATTACTCACTCCCCCACACTATTATTCAGCTTACATGTTCGGATGTGTCATGTGGAATCCACACATAGCTACAATTTATTTTGTGTTATTTATTTCTGTGTTTGTTATATCTACGGAGACTTGAGAGACTCTACTATGTCATCCAAACGAAGTAGAACTAATTCTTCTGCATCAAACAAGAAAAGAAAAACTTTATCTTTGGAATGTAAAGTTAACATTGGGTATGTTCGTAAAGTCGAACGAGTTAAGCGAGAATGAAGTCATCGTTATTCCTATTTCGTTAGACTTTTCGAACGATTCGTTACTAACGCGTTTAACTCGTTTGACTTTACGAACGTACCCATTATTAAAGACTTCGATACAAAAATGAAAATTTGTGAATTGGCAAAGAAGTTTGATCTACCGGAATTGTCGGTCAGAACAATTATAAAAGGCAAAGAAAAAATTCTCGAAGCTGTGAAAAATGCTCAATCTTTAAATTCAAGCATCATTCGTAAACGTCACAGTATTATCGCTGAGATGGAAACAATGTTAAAATTATGGCGTAATAATCAAGTAAATGTGAAAAATTGTAAAATAATATAGGCCTAATTTGTTATACATATGTATTATCTAAGATTTTATTAAACATTTTTTTTTTAAATTATTGTTTTATTTAGTCTCTGTCCCCAATTAAAAATTATTTGTATGTATTTATATGCAAAATTATACCCCGACTTATGCAAATTCGACTTACGCGGTTACCGCTCGGTCCCACCTATCGCGTAAGTTTGGGGTATTACTGTATTATAAATGTATTTAAAATAAATTCATTCTAATAAATATTAATAATAATATTTTAGTTGAAATATTCTGTATTCAAAAAACAGAGAAAACTTAATACATAATATAATTCTTTCAAAATTATTGAGTTATTTTAACTTAGCTTTACAATTCCTAATAATTTAATTAAAAATACCAAATGATTCTTTCAGGATTCTTATATTTTACATTATTTATTTTTCCGAGAAAATAAATCTCTTCATTATTATTCTGGAGATAAAGCAATTTATTCCTTGAAAACACTCAATAAATTTAAAAATGCAAGACGTTTGAAAGAAGACTCAATGTTATTTTTAAGATTAAAATTATATATAAATATAAAAAATACACAAAATAAAATTATCAAAACTGAATACAAATAATGTTGATCATAGAAATTAATAATTTAAATATGTAAATTAATAATTTTACAAGTATCATGATAAGTTCTCTATGCAAGCTTTTCTATGCTTCTTTACAAAGCTGTTAGTATACAGTATAAGAAGTTCTGATTTTGTGGCTTACATTTTCTTGAAAGTAACAAAACTTGGCATTATACCTGAATTCAAGAAAAATATACTACTTGTTTAACAAACTAAAAAATTACAATTTATTCAAGAAATATTTTCAGTCTACAATTAGACCTGCATCAACTAACTATAGGTGATGCAAGCCTAACTGTAGACTGACAATATTTCTATAATAAATTCTTTTGATTTCTCTGAAATAAGTGGCATACTTTCCTTAAATTCTATTATTGAATATTATTACTATTTGTAGTATGATGATGTTATAAAATTAGTAACACACTAATATATTGACATCAATATCAGCTACATCAGTCATGAGCAATCTGTACTCCACAAGGTTCTAATACAGGGTTCTAAAATTATTGTCAAAGCCCCTGAGGTTTGAATTTTAGAACCATGTATTAAATTTTCCTGTTTTCTGTCTTGTGCCATTAGGAAACCCTAACTATTAAACTGATATCTGTAATGAAGAACATTCAAACTAAACTTGATTAGTGAAACTTTGAGAATAAACTATATATTATCAGTCTGTATATCATTAGCATTTATTATTTTAGTATCTAGTGTACTGACAATTATGAAATATTTTAGTATTAAGTAGGCTGAAAGCCTGCAACAGGATTTTGTCAGATGGCAATCTTATGTAAATTAATTTGAAGACACAGCAAAAATTCGTCACCAGAGGAAGATAAAAATCTACATTTACCAGCACTCATTCTCCAGTGGATAAAGCTCAAACATCCCTGAGTGATATGGATGGAAATGAAAAAGATGATGTCTGTAAGACCCTCCAGTTCCAATTTTAAATTTGTAATTTTAATTGAATATTTTTCTGTGTTTTTAAAGGAATTTTTTTAAACTTGACGGGTAATCAAATGTTTGTATTCTGGAACACAAGAAGTGAATAAATGGTCCAAAAATGTCTGTTCCCATTTTTGGACAGACTGTGTCTTCAAATTAATTTACATAATTTGTAGTGATAACAGTGTATTCAGATCTCTGTGAATCAATACTATGCTTTCTTCACATTTAGCAACTCACAATGAATAACTGAATACACAGTGTCATGAGTTTGCTACATGTAAGAGACTAACTTTAATAACTGTATTTATGTACTAAAGAATTGTGAACAAGACATTAATTAATAGCAAAAAATTGTTGGATACTTCAGTCATACAGTGACTACTACATAAAACTGAAATAATTCGAAAACAGCTTGGTGTTATGAACATGGGTGTTGGTTCTTTAAAAGTTGAGATATGGAATTTTGTAAAAGCAATACTCCCCTTTATGTAGTAAATAAAATATTGTAAGTATATATTTTTGTATTTGTTTTTTTACATCCAATGAATAATCACATAAAAAAGTTCACATAAAAATCTATGTAAAATAATAGTTTTTTAAATTAATGGTAAGAAAATTTTTAATTTATTAACAAAAATAGGCATTTTTGAATTAGTTGCCCATAAGATGCCTCATTAAAATATGCAAATTCAAAGTTGAGTATCTTGATAACACCACATAAAATCTTAACAAAACTTAAACCACTTATGTATGGTAGTATTAATAACTGATACCTTGAGTTTCAATGCTTTCATAAGAAAATGACATTTGGCACCAACTATCTTAATAGATAATTGGTATTTTGAAGTAAAGAAATAATTTATTTAAAGTGAATATTTTTAAAAATTCTTATCTAGAGCTACCTACTGAGTGATGAATTGCTTAGAGTTAGAAAAATGTTGATACTTTGGATTATGTAAGAGTTCGATTGGTCAACATCCAAGGAAAAAATTTGTTTTCATACAGAGAGCAAGTGGCTTGCCTTGCATTAACCACTTGACAGTGAGGGACGGATATATCCGTCCAGGGCAATCATGTGACAGTGGTGAGGGACTAATATATTCATTAAATTCTTTTGGGGTAATGCAAAAAACTAGCCTAAAACTACCGGGGGAAAAAATTCATATAAAAAATGAATTATGTAACAATAAAAAAAAGCCATTTCTTTACTAGACATAACTCTTTACAAAATCTTTTTCTGAAATGGTGATAAGAAAAAACGCATGAAAAAATACTTTAAAAATTTCCCATGTTTATTCTCCACTAGTTAGGGATAGCACCATATCTGACTATCCTACTGTTGAAAGGTTAAATTATAAATAATTTTTTCAATATTCTGAGGTATGGAATTCCATACCTGCAAAAATATGAGGTATGGAGTCTTCCATACCTTCCATAGTGGAAACGACACCCCTGATTATGAATATAAATTAATTCAGGATGTATCATCTGGATGGAACAGCACATTTATGATGCTAGGAAAGCTATCAGATCTAAAGGTAGTGACTATAAATTGTTTAAGTATAATAAATATTCCTGTCTTTGATGCAAGAGAATGGGATTTAATTTTAAGCTACTATGGTAAAATTATTGAAAATTTTTCCAAAACAAAAACTGAAAGTGTATTTAATAAAATAGACATTAAACTTAAACATATTGTAGGGATTTTCAAAATATTAAAACAATCGGAAGACTGTCCTAATAACCTTTTTAATATTTTTTTATTTTATTTCATTTCATGAATGCTTTTTAAATCATTAATGAATAATTTTTTTAAAGTAAGGTTGGTCTATCCTCAATAACTAATATTTAACAAATTATATAGTATAATATTCTAGCAAACAGTGAAAAAATTAATCTACACAAAATACAAATGATAAAAGAAATTATTCCTCAATTTGTCCAATGATGAAATTCTAATAAAGAAGATACTTTGAACATCCTTAAATTTATTGCTTGAAATGAAAATAGAGTTGTGATTGGCAAACAGAAAAAAAGCCAATGAATTTAAAATAGACTTTAAAGAAAGAAATTGAAATATAGAGTTTCATCAAACCACACCAAGAAAATGATCTATCAAAATGACAAAAATGTCATTCAAGAGATTTTCATTTTTAAATTTTATGGTTAAAAAGCATTTAGCTGCTTCTCCTTTGTCAATTGAAAGTGAAAAGTTATTTACCATTACAGATAATACATATGAGGCCTTAAAAGAAATCAGATTTCTTTTCAGGCTGAGAGATCATGAGAACACTAAAATTTACAAATTTATTTTTTCATTACTCACAGATAAATTATTTTATGTTAAAATAAGTTTAATTTGGAGTGTTAAAGTAGTATTATATGACAATGTTAATGTTTCTGATAAACTATAGAGTATTGGTATTGATAAAGTTTTCATATTAATGTATCACTAGTTATATACAGGGTGTCCGAGAAGTCTTTCCTGATTACAAACATGCAGAAGGCAGAAAATATGACATAGACACATATCTTTTATCTTGAATTGCAGGTAACATATTCAAGTTTTTGTTTGTGCATAGATACTCAATGTTACTTTGTTTGTTACAGAACAATCACAGCCAATAACTATCTTGATATGTTGAGGTTATTTGTTGTGCCACAGATTCAGGACATTCCGGACTTAATTTTCCAACAAGATGGTGTGCCACCTCATTGGGGGTTAGATGTATACAGCATTTCCAGGAAGATGGATCGTGCATGGTGGTCCCATCAACTGGCCTCCACGATCACCAGAGATAATACCATTGGATGTCTTCCTTTGGGGTTATGTCAAGGACCAGGTTTACCAAACACCAGTGAATGACATTGCAGCATTACAGCACAGACTTACTGATGTCATAACATCCATCTCTCATGATATGTTGACCAACACATGGGTGAAATTGGAATATTGCCTGATATCCTTCGAGCAACAAAAGGAGCACACGTCAAAATTTATTAATGAGTATGTATGTACTGTACACACAAAAACTTGAATATGTTACCTGCAATTCAAGATAAAAGATATGTGTCTCTGTGTCATATTTTCTGCCTTCTGCATGTTTGTAATCAGGGAAAGACTTCTGGGACACCTTGTATAATTAAGGTCAGTTTCTAGACTTTTTGCATAATAAGTGGCTTAATACTTATAGAAAATTGAACTCCAAAGCCAATAAATAACTTATTCATTTTCCACTTGTTGGTTTATTCTTTCAAGTTCTCATATTTATTTATGGATTTTACCAATATAAATATTTTATGTATTATGAGTATAGTTTATTATTATTAGTATTATATATTTACCACATTTATCTTCATCTGACTTGTCACCACAATCATTATCTCCATCACAGCGATATGAAGCTGAAATGCAACGTGCATTCGTACAACGAAATTGCCCAATAGGACAAGTGACAACTTCCAAAGGCTTAAGATCTATAAATAAATAATAAATAACTTTATCTATATTTTTATCATTCATATGATTGCATTTGTTAATTTCAAGCAAACAACTATTAAAACATTATAATAAATTCTCAATAAAAATACTTGAATAGTTTATAAAAATTTCCAGGACAAAAATTTTTTAAATTTACAAAATTTTAGAAAATTCTTAAAAAGACAATATAAAAAAATTTGTCTTCTCACATGTCCTTTCAAATGCACATGAGGAACTCTTATTTTCCTCATTTGTGTATGAAAGGAAAAGTGAGAAGCCACATCTTTTTTATATTGTCTTTTTAAGACAATATAAAGGACAAGTGAGAAGACAAATTTTTTTATATTGTCTTTATATTTTTTTATATTGTCTTAAATTTCGTAAACTTGAATATTTATTCTTGTCATTAGTTTAGCATAAAAAGATCACTTTTCATCTAAACTGTTTAATATCTTTCGTAGTTTTACAATTTTGACAGAAAAAAGTTAGTCAACATTAAAACTATGATAAACTAATGTATAATAAACTAAAATATTTTGAATATTTACTTTTGACTTTATAATTTGTCTTTAAATCATTTACAAAAGGTAACTCAGTATGTATATGTGCTTAATTTAATACCTACTTGTATTTCAATTCACTAGTTATTTTCATGTATATATAAATATAGCACATACAATCTAACATTTTAAATTCCAGCAAAAGGTTTTATTAGCATTAAAGCATTTCCAACCAGAATTTACTGGTCTTTTTCAGTTACAGAATATTCAAAAATACATATATACATAGGCATGAGGTGTTTAGCTGGCAGAAAAGAGAATAAGGGAAAGGGGAGGGGAAGAAGGAAGGAGAGGAGATAAACAGTAGAGAAAGGTAGGACCCCTCTGAATGGCGTGCATATGGCTACAGTACCCTCTATGTTTCAAGTTGGCGTGCAGTTTTTAGGCTGCAAAGCCATAGTCCCCCAAAGGGTCTAAAACAAAACCTGAGTGCAGCAAACACCAATAATTCAGTAAACGAATAGCTAATTGTAGAAGTTAGTGCCAAGTGGCTGTTAGTAGGAAGACTTATATCAACTTAATACTAATAAAACTGAACTCAATTGTAAATCTTAATACTGCTTAACAGCTAGACACACAAACAAAAAGCAAATGAACACAATGACAAATTAGACGAGACGAACGAACTGACAGAGACAAATGAGCAAGCCCCCAATTTTTCTTTTGTTTTATTTTTTATTATTATTATTATTATTTCTTTTTTAAACATTAACTTACTCACTAACTAAACTAACCTACCATAACCTAGGACGAACCTAACCAGAGAACTAAAACTAACAAACCCTAATCTACTTTAACCTAACCTATCATATCCTAATTGGAAACCAAGCTAAGAGTCCCTAATCTAACTTACAATTAAAACTAACTAAATTTAGACTGAAAGAGAAGACATAAAATAAGAATTAAAAAACAAAGTTGAAAGACAGCTATATACCAACAGTTGAAACAAAGCAAGGAAAAGCTAATTGCCATCCGTGCTCCTGGAGTGAGAGCTCTCAAGAGCCCCACTAAGGGATATAAATGTGAGTAGATGATGATGGAACATTATACGTGTGTGAATGAGTTGGTGCGGATTGCAAGGCCAGTTGTACCCTTCAAGAATAGCAGCTCTCATTAAACTATCCCTAATGTGATTGTACCTATTACAGTGAAAAACTAAGTGAAGTGGTTTTTGGTCCTCCTGAATACCACAATTGCATTGTGGATTGTCCCCGAGGTTAAATCTATGCAAGTATTGCTTAAAGTTGCCATGTCCTGTAAGTAGCTTAGTGAGGGTGTAACTAGGGTAAAAGTGGCAATGAATCACAGTAGTGTCAACCTTGGGGATGAAAGTGAAGATGAGTCTACCAGTGGTGTCATGGTCCCAGCTGTCATGCCAGAGAATGAAGATTTGCTTCTTGACATGATTATTGATGTACAAGGTAGGAACATAACTGAAAGTACTAGTGACTGAAGACTTTGCAGCTTGTTTGGCAAGACAGTCAGCAGTCTCGTTGCCAAGAACCCCTGCATGACCTGGGACCAATTGGAAATCTATTCTAATGTTGTTGTCTAAGTGTCTGAGAATGTGGTATATGAGATGGACAAGTTTTAAGCAGTAATCTGACTTCAAATCCTGTGTAAAGCTACTCTACTGTCAGAATAAATGCAATAGTGTAAGTAGTGTCTTTTGCCTTTCCTACAACTAACGTGAATTAAGTTCATATAAATAGCTAAAGTTTCTACCTGTACTATTGAGCAGTGTGTACCTAGATGGAAGCAAGCACTGTGAAGCTTGCGGCCTAAGTTGGAGTAAACTACAAAAGCGGACCATCAGTGTAAATCCAAAACATGGGATGATCACCTGAATCTTCAAAGTAAATGTCAGGGGCAAGCTGATGGGAGGGGTGATAATCGTAAGTCGGGAGGTTATTTTTGTTGATGTTGAATTTTTTATATCATTGATCAAGATTCAATATTCAAAAATAGCATTTTAATGTTAAAGATAAAAAAATAAAAATTTAAATAACATATGTAAAAGAATATATGATACCAAGTTCAAAAAATTGAATACACAAAGTTTATATGAAAGAGAACATAAAAATTTTAAATATAAATATAATATATATAAATAAAAAGTAATCATGAAACAATATATGAAGTAATATTTAAAACAAAAACAGAACCAATTACAGTTCATAAAGTGACCAACATGCATTCGAGTGTGTGTTTGCATCTCAATAATTGATGCAAACAAATCTCTTAATGGGCTGCAATTTGAAAAAATTGTAGACTTATAAATTCCCAGTCATCTGTTAGTCTGCTCTGTCTGACTTTCCTTCATCTCAAGAACAGAGGTAGATAGATGAAAGACAAGACCTTAAGGTTTCCCTTAAGGTCTTATCTTGTTGACCTTGGAAACCTTAAGGGCAAGAACCCTGATTAACTATACACTATATGACCTGATGCAACCAGAAGTCATGTTATTTCAATTCAAAAATTTCCCTGAATGGAATTAGTTAGATGACTGCCCTGACTCAATCACTAAAGGGAAAGTATGATGTACAGGGTCAAGACACTACTAATTTGAATATGAATAGCATATATTTTAAATTAAATAAGTTAAAAAATATGATTAAAAATTGCAGTGCAGCATTGTGATGATGTCATAATAAAATAATTACTCATTAGCTTTATAAATCTCCAATTTTTCTAAGTAGTTAAGAGTATTGATATTGGAGGTATGGTTGATGATTCTATAGCTGTACGCCATATCTTTTTGTAAATATTAATTTAAGTTTAGTTTTAGTATTCTTTGTTCTTTATTCATTCTTCATTCTAGAACTTTCCTTCATAACTCTTTTCACTTGGGTGGGATGAATAGTTCTATGAACCACAGTGAACAAAGTGATGAACAAAGTCCTGAGGTCAGAGGGACAAAAGAAAGAACATTCTTGGCCCAAAATTCAAAGGGAAGAGTCGTGGTGTGTGTGCTCCAGGTTGCATTAGCAACGACTGGAGGAGTAAGAAAAGTTTGGTGAAAGGGTCGTGTTTTATCGTAATGACAATAAAACAGCAGAAAAGCTAAGTGAAAGATAAAAACATTGATGAAGACAATGGCAACAGATCTTCTACAAAAAAAAAAAAAAAAAAAAGACAAGTTCAATGTGGCATCCTGTTCATCAAAGTGTATAGTGAAGCAAGTACAAAAACCCAGATATTCCTATCTTTATCATAACCTACATATATCTTCCCTTTTCTGATAATTTTCCCTCTTTAGTTTTAAGTTAGTACCTAAGGATAGTTTTATTTTCAGTTTATCAATTATTGTTGTGATTGGCATCTGTAGTTAGTGTCTGACAAATTATTGTTTATGCTGTATCATTGTATATTATTATACATTATCGTGAAGTTGGAATCCAATATCAAAAACCTGTATTAACATGCAAAATAAATTACTTGTCTAGTTATACTGTTGTATTTTCATTGTAAAGTATTCCCTTTGTTAGGTGTATATTAATTTTGCATGCACTCAACAATTCTCACTTGTTGCTAGTTCACATGTATGTCATGGTAGTGAGCTGCTAATATCATAGATAGGTTCTATTAAATTGTGTATTTGTGTTCAATGATTTTTTGTCCCAGATTACATTTAATAGTGCCTTCTAATTTTGCCAGATTATACTGGCTTTTTAAGTTTATGAAATTATAAAATGTCAGCTCTAAACTTAGTAGAATACTGCATGTTTAGCCTTTACCTATCTTTAGTTTTAAGTATTGAAAAGTTTAAACTTGTAAAAACCTATGAAATGTTTTTAAAAAATTAAAATCAAATGATTTCCTGTTAATAGAAATGTTCTTAGTTAAGATGATAAGATGTTCCAAATTATAAGTCAATGTTCCACATTGTTCCATTTGTCCCGCCAAAATGCCTAAATTTCTCATTTTCTGCTCAGAGAATAAAAATACAAGGCAACTACCTCTGTCTTCCCAGAACAAAAATTCTAGTGCCATTACTTCTCAGATNTCCGAAGCAGGACTCAGATCTGCGACATCTGTAAACTGCACGGATGCATTATCAGTTATATTACGAAACTATCTTTTCTTCTATAATTTTCTAAATCATTTAAACTACCACATTTAAATGAAATTTCATAATTAAAAAATCTGTATAAACAAACCTAAAAATCCAGTAGTTTAGATGTACAAAAGCTATAGTTATCATTTATGTATGTACACATTTACTAATAAGAACACTTACTAAATCTTCGGGTGAAAAATTATCATCCAAATATTCTGCAAGTTCTTCCTCCTTTTCCTGATAAACATGATCTACCAACCACTTTAATACTCCCAGCTAAATAAAAATATTAAAAATAAATATAAATTTGATTACACTGGACAACAATGATTTTGCTTCGGGCTCAAAATTAGCATATTCTTATGTATTTTCATCT